AAACAAGAAGTTTGAGAAGTAGTTTCAACTGATTTTTCAATTGCAAAACTTTTGTATTTCTGCTAAATCCAAAAGAAACCATTCCTAGCTAGGCAACAATTTTTTGTTCAAAGTGATAAAGAATCAATTGATTGGTGATGAGAATTTATTCATTGATAGATAAAACAAACTCACCCAAACTGCCATCAGATCCAGAATAGTCGTAGTAACAATTTGGAGATCCATCATTTTTGAGCTCTTCCTCATTCGGCCTGCAGCCTGTTGTCTTCCAGTGCGTCCTCAACCCCGAAGCACTAATATAGTTTTTGCCACACTCCAAACACATGTAAGGCCTCTCGTTCGTGTGCAGACGTTTGTGAAGTTTGAGATGAACGAATTGGGTGAACTTGGCAGGGCAGAATTCACATACGAACGGTTTGAGTCCACTGTGCAATCTCATATGCGTTTTTAGGTTGGAGGTGGAAGAAAATTTCTTATTGCAAACCGCGCACTCATGTGGACGTTCGCCTGTGTGCACCAGGTGATGTTTCTGTAGATGAGCAAGCTGAGTAAATGATTTCGAACAAACATTGCATGTGAAAGGTCGTTCTCCACTATGTGTTCTCAAATGAACCTTCAAGTTGGATAACTGGCCAAATGTTTTCTTGCAGACATTACATTCATAATGCATTTTACCATCTTTCTTTTTCAAAGGATAAGGAAGACTCCTGTATCCTCTAGAGGGACCTCCGTTTGGGCTAGTGGGGTTACTTGAGCACAAATCGACGTCATACCGTTCAGGGCTTCGGGAAGAAGGGGCTAGCACACTATTATTGATCTGAAGAGGCGGCAATGGAGTTAGCAAGTGGTGAGTCATATTGAGATGCGCTGAGGGAACCAGCAAATTTGTTCCATTATTGTGATGATTACTTACGAAATTACTCGCAGGAGGGGAGTGGGGATGAGGGGGAGAAGAATTCATAGTACTGTGAACTATACCACCTGGAGACGGGTAGACCGCATAGTAACTTGTGGGTTGGTTATTGTTGTGGTAAGATTCAGTGGTGTGAGTCAGATAGATATTAGTTTGTAGCGGACTTGTTGTTTTCAGTGCGGCTCTACTTGGGGAAACTATATGCGACTGGATATTGGAGCTGGAATCTGCGCTACAAGAAACTGTGCCATATCTGTGGCTCTTCTTGTACGAATACGCCATCTCCGTAGGTGAACTTGGAGGTGTAGATGTGTTGCCCTGACTTTTGTCGTTATTGTTATTGTCAAGCTTAGTTCTCAGTAAAATATTTTCCAGAATACTTGACGATGGGGGTGTGTATTTAGGAAGTCCATTAGTCGATTTGACTTCTGCTTCATAAAAGTGTTTGTTATTAGGAACTTCATGGGGTGGTGAGTCCATCACGATCACGGATGTTGGGGGTATAATAATTCTCGAGGTTGGTGTTGTTAATTCAGGTACTGAATCATCCATTCTTGAGTCTTTATCAGCCTCTTGATCACAATCATTTTTAACAGGCTTATAATGATAGGGTTTGGTGACCTTGTATTTAACTTTCCTGCATTCATTTTCTTGGTTTTCTGGGCATACTGGTTTGATGACAGCGGTTTCTTTCGTGGATTTTTTACTATAATCTAAAACGTAGTTATTTTCACTATCAGAGTCACTGGATTCTTCGGGCGGGGTGAAAATGTCTTCGTGGTACTCATTGCTATGGTAGCCTTCGTCCGACCTGACACTTCCCTCAGGTGGAGTCAGTTGTTGTTCATATGGATTTTCCTTTAATGGTGGATCGATTGTACTAACTGTTAGCATTTCTGTCGACTGGTGTTCTTCCCCTAAACAAAAAAAAATATAATGTTTGGTCTCTTACATAATTCTTAAGGACTTACTTATCCTTTGAAGCATTTGCTCTGAAGATACAGGATAGTTCAGTCTCTCAGCAAACTCCTTGCAGTACCAAACCAGCAATTCTTGGTTTGGTTCGATAGGTTTGATAGTGTAGAAATAAATATTCATTTCGTGCTGATACGCGATCAAGTTTTGGGAATCAATGGAGGAAGGCGGACTGACGTATCTCATCCAGTTGGCTTTAGAAGTATCAAATCCATCAATGTAGTAGTAGAGTTCATTATCCTTGTAAATCTATACTTATAAATATTGAAGAGGTGAGAAAATCTGAGTGCTGAGTTTTCTGAAACTTCGTCGGAAGTTTTTATAAATAAGTAAATTGTTATCATTATTAGAAAACAGTGTTTCTGAAGGATTAGACAAGCAAATGTATATTTTTTAGTTAAACTCTCGGAAAACTTGATTTTTTATAATTAAACTGACATATTTGTAATAATTGATTTCTGACTTTGTGTAACTCAACATTACTCTTGAGTCATTGAGTCCTACTATGAAAAGTGGAATGAATAAAAAACTCAATATTATTCAGTCATCAATTCAGATAACCGTTCTAATTACCATGTATTATCACTAATCCATGTAATATGGATTAGTCGTCACAATCATTTCATAATGTTAGCTCATCTAAACTTCTATACTTTCAAGAAAATGTAAATCGAGATCATTATTACAATTCAATTCATTTTTTTTCTATAGTACTGAAAATAGGATAGATATAAATGTGATTTTCATAATAAAAATGTTCTCGATCCTTGTATTTTTTGAATTTCTTTCAAAAATAACAATATTATTAATAAAATATAGTCACCTCATGATCATTGCATCTGTTTTTATAGAATCCCTCTCTGAGTTGTACCTACACCAAGCAGAAAGAAACCAATCACCAAGGGTTATTGATATCAAGAGGATATTTTGATGAAATGAAATAATTATTTTTCATTAACTACCCATATTTTTCATCACACTATTACTATGTATAT